CTGTAGGAGATTAATTCTGTTTAGTACATGTGTCAATATTAAAGTTTATGGAAATTGACTGTTCCACTTAGCAGGTTAATTTTTCAATATGGGGTGTTCACTGTTCAAGTTTGGAGGTGTTCCACTTACAGAGGTTCAATTAACATTAAGTCAATGGGTTTTCAAAAGGGGACTTTGAAAAAGTGTTCCACTTGCGAGGTGTTCCACTTACGGAGGTGTTCCACTTAGCAGGTTCTACTGTATAAGGTATTGTGTGCCAATAAACTATTCTGTTCGGGGTACTATAGAACATATACATGTTTATCCTACACTTAGTGTACTAAATGTATAATAACATTAAAAAATAAATTTGATATTTATTGGCAAAATGAATATCCGGAGGATATCGTAACGATATACTCCGGGCGGAGGATATCGTGACGATATACTCCGGAAAACCCAACATGCGGAGGATATTGTGACGATATACTCCGCTTGTTGATTTCCCGCCAAATTGACTCTATTTTGGCATGGAATTCATTTTGAAATGATATTATACATTTAGTACACTCCTTGTAAGTGTAGGATAATAAGAACATCCTATGATTTTTTCAGAATATCATTTTAATCTACTCGGTGATATTGATATATGCACTCGTTCGCTTCGCTCTCTCGTGCAGATATCAATATCACCTCGTAGATAAAAATGATATTCCTCAAAATCATAGGATATCCTATAAATAGGAAGAATATTTCATCCCACACAAGGAGGATTGGCTCCCAGGATCGAAACCCGATATTGAAAAACAATGAAAACGTCGAAATGTCGTTATTTTCTGAAATTGTACAGCCCATTTCATTGTTTTATTTCGTCACAAAAGACGACTTCCCCCTGGTAAAACCTAAAAAATAATAAATCAAAAGATCATTGCGCAATAATGTATGGAAAAATATATTCCTATTGTACTATTGTGTATATCTTGAATTGCTTCTAGTTTGGCTAATAAAGTATGTGGCCTCTTATATTTTGATGCTTCTCTGCAATAGTATTTTCAAAAAGATTAACATGGCTGAAATTCTTTAAATTACAAGAGGGCATAGGTTTATTGCACAAAAAACTAAATAATCTGAAAATGTCATTCATGTACAATATTAACATTAAGTCAATGGGTTTTCAAAAGGGGACTTTGAAAAAGTGTTCCACTTGCGAGGTGTTCTACTTACGGAGGTGTTCCACTTAGCAGGTTCTACTGTATAAGGTATTGTGTGCCAATAAACTATTCTGTTCGGGGTACTATAGAACATATACATGTTTATCCTACACTTAGTGTACTAAATGTATAATAACATTAAAAAATAAATTTGATATTTATTGGCAAAATGAATATCCGGAGGATATCGTAACGATATACTCCGGGCGGAGGATATCGTGACGATATACTCCGGAAAACCCAACATGCGGAGGATATTGTGACGATATACTCCGCTTGTTGATTTCCCGCCAAATTGACTCTATTTTGGCATGGAATTCATTTTGAAATGATATTATACATTTAGTACACTCCTTGTAAGTGTAGGATAATAAGAACATCCTATGATTTTTTCAGAATATCATTTTAATCTACTCGGTGATATTGATATATGCACTCGTTCGCTTCGCTCTCTCGTGCAGATATCAATATCACCTCGTAGATAAAAATGATATTCCTCAAAATCATAGGATATCCTATAAATAGGAAGAATATTTCATCCCACACAAGGAGGATTGGCTCCCAGGATCGAAACCCGATATTGAAAAACAATGAAAACGTCGAAATGTCGTTATTTTCTGAAATTGTACAGCCCATTTCATTGTTTTATTTCGTCACAAAAGACGACTTCCCCCTGGTAAAACCTAAAAAATAATAAATCAAAAGATCATTGCGCAATAATGTATGGAAAAATATATTCCTATTGTACTATTGTGTATATCTTGAATTGCTTCTAGTTTGGCTAATAAAGTATGTGGCCTCTTATATTTTGATGCTTCTCTGCAATAGTATTTTCAAAAAGATTAACATGGCTGAAATTCTTTAAATTACAAGAGGGCATAGGTTTATTGCACAAAAAACTAAATAATCTGAAAATGTCATTCATGTACAATATGAATATACTTTTCCATATATTATTGCACAATGGTCTTATGATTTCTTATTTTTTGGTGTCTACTGACGGAATAAAACAGTGAAATGGGCTGTAACCGACTATAAATTCAAATTTTCAGAGCCCTCTCTCAACATGTACTTGTTTTAATTGTCATGGCGTATTTTGAGGGATGCTATCGTGAGTGCAAAATCCGTCGGTTTGTTGGCCGGTCGTTACAACACTTTAAACAAACAGAAGTATTCAGATTTCTACGAGTAAGAATGAAAATAATAGTTTTTTCTATATCGTATTGTTGTATTGTTAGTACCTTCTTGATCGAATGAATGTTTTCACGGCAAAAGTGAAATGTAAATGAAACGTACAATTCATAATCAAGGGTTTCCGTTTTTGTGGATATGCACAGATTACCAATAATAGGTAACCATGGAAGTCTTGTTAAAACCTGATCGATTGTTACAGTGTCACCGTAGTCTCAAAAAGATAACACAGTTCAACCATTAATTCTTGCTCCATATATTGTTTTATAATCAAGACCCTCTTTTGTTAAAAATACTATTCATTGTTTCTTTCGATCTAGATTTCAACTGACATCATTGTACTTGAAAAACGAAGACAGGGGTGTTAACACGATTTTACAAGCATTACGCCTGCCTTGCTGTTCAAACATATCAAATGGAGGTAACCCAAAGACTAACTTCGATTATCACTTGATGAAATAAATATTGTCATCATGTGACATGAATATAATAAATTGGTTGAGAAATTGATATACCTATCGTTGCATGTATAAGTCATAATAATTGGGTTAATAAACTTCCATAGATCTTTAAAAGCTATATCACGCCCAGTGATCGTACAAAATGGATGGAGGGGGGATTTGGCGATTTCTGCAAGAAAACTCAACAAATTTGGAAGATTTATTTTTTCAAGAGAAAATTTACAACTGAATTGCCAAGTGAATAGGCGCAGTGCATGGCAAAATATGTTAGGTCATCTAGTATTTTTGATACCCTTCTAAGATATGAGATCTATTAAAAAAGGCGCATCATCAAAAACGTGCAAAAGTCAATAAATCGGGCAACACTGGTCTACACGACCTGTAATAAATAGGTATAAGGGACGTTATTATCACAATACTAATGACACTACTCACTTTTTAAAGTTAGTTTCCATGCGTTATACAAAAAATAATCGAAATAAATTAATATTGGATGGAGGGGAGTCAATGGAGGGGGGGGGATAACGTAAGACATGATAAGACATGCTACTTGAATTTATTCTTATGACTCCAAATTTTCCCATTTTTCATTCTCATTCAATCATGTATAAAAGAGATGTGGATTGTGGAATCTGGAAAGCTGCACCATTCTTTTGAAAACAGATGCAACACATTTTCAGATATACCACTTCAAAAAAGTTAAGGACCAGTTTTTTCCTAACCCTCGGGTGAGCCCACGCCCTTGTTAGCCTTTGGATCCGCCAATGTATAAAACTGCATATTTTCTAAAATGTAGAGAATAGATCCGCCCTGTCCAAAAGTTCAGTTTGGAAGGATTAACGATGCAAAGGCTACTATTAAAAACTGTTTCAAGGTGACATGATGCGATGGGAAATTAATCATAAAGAAATCGAGGGGAAGAGGAGTCATGTAATTATAAATAGACATGAACAACGAATCACATGCAACATGTATTAAGGACGAGGCAATTATTTCATGGGAGGCGATATCGTTGGAAAAATACACAAACTACACTTGGAAAAAACGGCTTCTTTGAAATAAGTGACATTTCCGTTGATATTGGATATTTCGGCATGCTGTTTTCAATTTGAGAATTTTCACATAAAATGTCAAAAATCTCTTTCAAAATAAAACTTGCTAATGATACCCTATAGTTCCTCAATAAAAATCTCAAATTATTCGGCAATATATTGCTGAGAAAATACTTGTCAAAAAGCGATTCACTTTTTTGGAACACCCGATATATCGACATCGACAATGGAGCTTGGCATATGTAAAGTTGGTTCAAAGGTCCTTCGAATTAAGTTAGTTTCATCACTGTAGCATGTATGTCTATGACTAATCTGCTGTCCGTACAAAGAATGTACTTCAAATGGCTTCCACCTCTCTGCTGACAGACTGCCAAACGTCCTTATTTTCCGTGTCATCTCTAGTTTGAGCTTTGCAATTCTGGCGATTGGGAACATGTGAACCTTAGCACATCTTGGCGCATGCTTCTGAAGACATACGAAGCTTTCCGAAAAGGTACTTCCACATACTCATTCCAACGGTGTACAACGTATACAAAGGCCAATCGAGAAGTTCTGAAAAATGCTATATCTTTTTTTCAGGAAATTAACTGAAATTTTTACACAATTTACATAATTTATATGCCTATACAGCAGGGACATTTCAGAATGATTGGTGAACAGAAAATTCTATAATCACACTTTTACTACCCCTTGTTGGTAGAGACACTTGGTAAAGAACCTGAGCTAAAACTGAAAAACTGAATCCAACTGTGAAATTCTCTTTGCGATAAAGTTCAATGAAGATACTCAAAATAATGTCCTTCTGCATTAAAGCACTGCGTTAAGACATTCTGGTATCTACCCACCACACCCACTATTTGTACACATATAACCAGAGACATATGAAACATATTATGTCTCTGATATAACTTAACAGACTTCTCCTGCGTATTTCCTCTAATAGATGGCGATATTACCAATGTATGAATTCATCCCAATCACAACTCATACATGTGCGACGCATCACCATTTACTGATAGATGTCATTCCACTACTACATACAGACATAACATAATTATCTCTTTGTTATAATACTGTGTTCTGCTTTTGCCTTTATCAGTAATATAGCAAAGTTAGCTGAGGCAGAGGTATATATATAACAGGTAAAACATAGAATAAAACACAAGCAATTTCATAATTAATTTCACTCTACACCACGAAGAAATATTGGAATTATGAATGATGTTTAGAATAACATAGCGAAAGTGGATTTTACATGTGACAGTTCACGCTAGTTATCATGATGCAGGTACAAAATTTCAGTGTTGACACTTTTATCTTGGATGGGGTCGGTAACTTTACGTCTAATATGACTACCTTGGATGAAGGTGCCAGAAATCTTACGGTCGTCTTGGTGGAGATCATCGTCATGGTTGTTATCATGGTCAGTACAATCGTCGGCAATGCCTGTGTATGTTGGATTATACACACGCATTCTGATCTACATACACTTCCCAACAAATTCGTGTTGAATCTGGCCTGGTGCGATCTCCTTACTGCTGTCGTTAACGGTCCTTTCACCATCAGTGTGCTCATTCACGGTGATTGGATCATGGGCGACGTCATGTGTCAGATTAACGGCTTCACCACCACACTCTTCGGCATCGCCAGTGTTGTTTGCCTTGCTGTCATCTCAGTCAATCGGTGTTGTATGATCGTCTATACCTCAAAATGCTCTAGCTGGTTTACGGTGAAGACAACATATATGCTAATCATAGGTAAGACTAGATGAACATCATCTTTACTGTATGTAAGCAATAGATCAATTTATAAATACATCCATCATTTTAAGAAATATGAATTTAGCAAAACTGTTTTTAGTTACAATTTAAGTTGAGAGTTTTTTCCAGAAATTCTAATTAGCATTATTTACTTAATTAACTCAAATATCTACAGAACGGTAAGTCTATCAAGGAAAGTTATCAATAATATATTTATACCCAAAGTTGGAACATATTAAATGATTGAAACTAAGGTGCACAAAATAATAATATAACTAGATTTAAAAAGATTATGTATTACTAATTTTGCGGCACCTGATTTAACGGCCACTTGCAAGGGGCCTCCTAAAAAATATTGAAGTATCTCCACCGAATATTATAGATCAATTGGGACATGTACCAAAAACGTCTTATAAATAGATCAAACAGGCATAATATGACAAAAGAAGCCCTATCTAAAGTACAAGTGTGCATAGGATGTCTAATGTACTTTAATACTTATAATAATGATCATGAATATTTTGACTTTCTGGTATTTCGTGACAGGTTGAAGAAAACGTTGACGCAATATCAATAATGAGTGACAAAATATCATGCAAAACAGAGTATCCATGACACCTCTATTGGATATCACTTGGGGATTGTGTTGCTAATAAATCGAGCATTAGTCTGATTGCTACACTGAACGGTTATATGACTGTTGTAATATTTTATGAGAATGATTTATGAGATTAAGAGAACAGTTGTATGGCCTGTTTTGAGGACTGTTATTGTACTGTTTCAGGGACTCATATAGAGATTGTTGTTGAGACCATTCTGTGAAATGTTATTAGGACCAGTCTGTTATAGGAATGCAACAGCAGTGTCTTTTTGGAAGAATGATGGAACTGTTATGTAACAGTAACACACTTGTCTAGGTCACATTAATAATCTATGAAAAATGTCGTGCCTGGATCATTATTTTATTTTTACCTCTCCCGTAGGTCATTTTATCCAAAAGGGCATTCTTTTAATATGCTTAACATCTTCCAAATACATTACGAGCGCATGCCTTGTAGTGGTTATCAATTTTATGAAATGAAACGCATTTGGTACATTTACATCACTAGTTTTATCATATCCGTGATAGTCTCCCTTTTCACATTTATACTGAAACTAGGGGTCAATGTGTTCATTTTTTAGCATTGCTTGTTATCTAATTTCGTTCATATCTACGTCAGCGTGCCTTGTTAGTTGTTAGTACCTTATTCAAAAACATAATCACTGATAATCACTTTCTATATTTATTATCATGACATAAGCTGTTTACGGGAACACAGGACAATTACCTTCAGATCTGTGTTTCAGAGGTGAAATAATATATTTTATTCACATGTGCATTCGTATTACAAATTTTCTTTATGGCACAAGTATACCTTTTACTTTCAATATTTTATTGTGTGACTATCATACTCTCTCTGGTGTTCAGGTAACAGGCCATGTATATAGGTCCGAGTGAATTTTGATAAAAATGAATGCAGATTCTTCTGTAGCAACAATCCTATCTAGAGCAAACAACCACTATTGATGCAGTTTTCAAATTATCAATTTACGATCTTCGAGGGGAAACTGTAAAACAAATCGTACATAAATTATTCACCGAGAACATAGAAATAAAACAGGGTATCATGAGTTGGTATAGGGGTGTTAACTACTTGATGGTTTATACGAGTGATAGTTCCCTAACATCAGGGTCGCTCAAATGAAGACGATTGCTATCAAAAGCGTTAAAAATTTAATCCAGGGATGTCTTGTTTTCTTCAGTTAAAGTGATTTCACGAAACGAACTACCATCTAGAGCTCAAAACACCTTACATCACTGTCACCGTTCATCAATTTATTCAAAGGTAATACTAATTCACAGAGAAGGCAGAAACAGAAACAGAGTAGCTATCAGCTATCGAGAGTTGGCGGAAAGGTTTCATCCACAGGATGTCTACATATTACATATTACATAATGCATGGCACCATAACATAATACCGAGAAGTTGATAAAGAGAATCCAATAAACACTTCTTGACCTTGCCCTCATTTTCCTATTGAGTTACACGATAGTCAATTTCCTGAAAGTAACAAAACATATGTGGCACCGTTGCATCACGTGAATGATCCCTTTGAAACGAGGGGGCATGCACACGGTGATAGGAAAAAGATAATATTTGAAAGCAAGCAAATAATATATCTACAGAAGAACTATTTTTATCAGGTACACTCCATTCCCTCTGAACGATTGGAAAGTAATATTAATCCCAATTTCTCAGTAGTCTCAACTTCCACCGTAAGATAACCGTCATGATTAGCTTTCAGCATTCTTTTGCGATGTTCCGTAACATGTGATGGCTTGCAAAAAGGCGTAATGACAAAGGTAGTAATATATTTATTCATTTCCTAACTAAATAGGCGGTAGAGGCTACTTGGTCTGGAACATTATCATTATATTATGACTTAATTGTTCCCTGCCAAGATTGGGAAGGTATAACTTGGTCGCTAATCCTCCTTAATTGGTTACATCGTGCATATTGATTGATAAACCCACTTTGGGTGCACTATTTCAACAAAACTTCTCAAAATTTTCCTCATGGGGATTTCCTCTTGTATTCCACTATTCCACTTTATTATTACACACGTAGGCTAGTAAAGGAACCAATTTCGACAGATTTTGTTTTTTCATCATAATACCGTTTGTTAAAAAAAACTTTGGTTGAAAAGGACGGGTGTCATTAAGGGCCCTTTTTAGCCCCCAAAGATATCTGATAATAATGCATATCATATTGAAGAAAAATCATTTGTGCTTTATAGAAATACAATTTCAGCGAATTTTGACTTTTGATGTTTACACAACAGTCATTTAAAGATCATATACCATTTTTGGTGTTTTTACAAAAAATTCTTTATTTATTGTTGTCTAAGTAAATAGTATATAAATATTAACCAATATAAATATGTTAAAATGTAGTATATGAAATACTGAAGAAAAGATACGATTAAAATTATTTTCATGGAATAGCACATAGGGCAATATTGACAAAATGCAAATGCTATTTTGGTAGGTTCTTGGCTAGCAATGGGTACATTTCAATTGTGACTGTAATGGATTACTATTGACTTTTATCAACATCACAGGGCAACATTTAAGCAACTTAAATACAAGGAAAATCAAAGATTTCCTCTCGTTTCTAAAACGAGGAACAAAAGCATGAATTCAAGGAAAATAAATGATGGCCTGTGCCAAAATATATAACATATGAGAAAGTTGTGGCACAGTAAAGGATATGTATAGGATATCATATGATTTTAAATGATTTTATCTTTATCTCCGAGTTGATATCAATATCTTGCCAAGTTAGCATAGCGAATTAGCGCAGATATTGATATCAATGAGTTGGATAAACACAATATCACGAAAATTCATTGGATGTTCTATTTTTCCCATAGTTCACCACTAAAACTAAACAAAGCATATCAAAACAATATCCATTCATTAATTCATCCCCGTGATGTCATGAAATCACTATGTAACAAAACACATCATATTGGTGGTAGTTTTGAAATCCCTGCCAAAAGGTGATATCTGTGAAATATTTTCCGTATTCCACAGATATCACTTTTCCATGCATTTGCAAAATATCATAAATATGTCAGAAACAAGTCAAATTCTTTACTTCAGAGAATATTTTTAATTTATTGAGACTTTCGACTAATATCCCTTAGTCTTTTTCAAAATATAACAGCATGTATACATTTATGTGACGTCATAAACAGACAATGAAAGTCTCAATAAATTAAAAATATTCTCTGAAGTAAAGAATTTGACTTGTTTCTGATATATTAACCAGAGAGATGAACTTACATAGAACTATCATAAATATGTTTTCATGTTACCTAACAGAGTGGAACAGAGTTCAACTATGGGATAAAGAATAAAAAATAGGTACATAATTGAATTACCACTCCAAAAATATTAAATATGAGGGTTTAAAGAAAGAATATTGAATATGAGATTCAAAAAGACAAGTGGCCTCATGTCTCACATTACCCAAACCCCAGATCCTCGATGTCATATATACTTATACACTGTACATCAATGTTATTTACTGGGAGGATTAAATATGGAGTGTATAGCAATGGTCAATACGATATTTCCAGATGGATATTTTAAACCTAGAAGCGGAACCCAAACTCAGTCATGACATAGGAGCTAACTTTTGCAATTAATAGAAACTTGTTTTTTATTATATTTTTGTGTTCTATATTTGAGATGAAATAATATGAGATTCATTTCTACAAGAGGATGGAACGAATATGAACTTGTATATTGAACTATACTCCTTTTCTGAATAAACAGAACAACATTGTATCCAAGCCAATTAAGAAAACCAAGGCCAATGAGTGTAATTTATGCCCAGTTAAACTAACACAATAACAACTTTTTGTCTGGACTCACTTATGTAAGAATAAATTGTATTACTGTTTACTGCATTAAATGTCAAGTATACTATCTGTATTTAATTTCAAATGCCTATCTCACTTATCGAAGGTATACAAGAAATGTTATTTTGAAACAAATTCAGCACAACCAAAACCATGTCCACATAATATAACAAATCCAAGATGGCTGCCACAATTTTAGATCCATGCACATGTGAAGAAGTTAGAAATACACATGGTCCACAAGTTCCATCCCCAATAAAATGGAAAGTTTAAGGTTTTCACACATATCAACTCTATTCCTATATACTTTATATTTGTGGTAAGGCTTGTGATCTAGGTAAACTTAGCATGTTCATGTACCTCCTATCCTCTGAAGCTAAAAACAGAAATAGTGACTTCAATTGAGAAAAATGAATCTTATGGGCTCCATATACATTTTGAGTGGCTGTCCGGCTAAAGTTAGATACTACTGATAATCTGAGATTGAAAATTATGTCAAGTTTAGTCCTCAGCCTCTCAAAACGGAT